ACAAATTTATAAGGCAAGATAAAAATAAAGAACTAACAATAGCCAGTTCAGATAGATAGATAGATAGATAGATAGATATGTGTGTGTGTGTGTGTGTGTGTGTATAGCATTTGTTCTGAAGAAACAGAGCTGAATGGAGCCCACAGCAAGTCTGCATCATAATTCAGATAATAATACAAGTTATGTTTCCAAACTCTGTGTAAAAATCTATCCATTCTTTTAAATTGCATGTGGTAGAGTTTGTCAGTATTTCTTAACAGATTATTTTTATCAGTGGTAAATTAATTTTAAGTATAAAATTAATATATTAATTTTAATGTTTTAAAATATCAATGTTTTCCATTGATGATGATAAATATGGACTTATAAACTTAAAATAAAATAAAATTATGCTACACTTGACTTCTAATTTCAGTACATGTATTTGTCTTCTTATGTGAAACATACAAGTGTAAAAAAGTAAATTTGATGATATAAAATTGGTGGTTCAAACACTTCTTGGTTTAAATTATCATTTATTCATTCATCTGTTCCTTGGTCATAAATGCACACACACATACACACATTTTTCCCCCCAATGTGAAAGCAATCTAGTAGAAAATTTACCAATTAAAGTATCAGGAACAAGGCCCTCCCTAGTGGCGCAGCAGGTTAAAGCACAGCACTAAGAGGCTAAAGCCACTTCAGCATGAGTTCGATCCCTGCCTGGGAGGTGACCTGCAAGGCCATGTGAGGCACAGCAGACCTCTCCTGACCCGCCCACTGCTCCCCTCAGCAGTGTACTTTGTCAATCTGCCTTTTCTGCTCCCCACTCTGTCTCTGGTGAATCCTCTCACCGCCCCTGCACCTCTGGCCTATACCCCAGTTCTGCATGCTGAAATAAATAAAATCTTAAAAAAAAATATCAGAAACAACTATCTACACAATTGCTGTATATGCCAAAAAGGTTCATATATGAAACTGACAGTTGGAGTTAGCTGCATGAGTGTCTAATGCATCTAGAAGATAGAGTCGTGGCCCTTACACTACTTCTGTGATTGGATAAAGGCACAGAAAGGCAAATGTTTTTCTTACAAACTCTGAATAACCATGGAGCAGTATGTCTCAAAGTTGTGATACATTGGTCCATCCTGAATTTGTAATTTGGAAAGTTCCCTTGTTGATTCTTTAGGCATACTCACTTTTGAAAACCATTGCAATGATGATGTATCTGGCAACAAACATTTATTGTAACATGAGGACATACTTTAGTGTAAATTGTCACCATTATTTCAAGACTGTGAGCATCGGAATCTTGAAAGTTTTAAATGCATGCTTCTAAGTCCATCCCACAGATGGAGTGATTATGGAAAAATATAAGCTCCAGCTATATTACGTATGGAAACCAGATTTGTTGTAGAATACTTTGAGAAACACAAATTGCCTTGTGCTGAGGGAAAGTGAGTTGTGGTTGGGTACAGTTAAAAGTATGGTAAGTTTTCTATATAAGATGCTTTGGGGTGCTGTATCAAAACAGGGGACATGGGAAACTATGAATCTCACACAAGAGAAGAAGAGGTATACGTGAGAAAAGGGTTAGGCAGGGAGGTAAATGTGTCTGGTAAATAATCTGGAGAGTTAGAGTTTACCAACAGAGAGAATTCTAGAATCCATAAAAAATTATATCACTTTTTGAAATTCTTTATGAAGTTCAGGCCCAGTTATTTAGTGGGATTACTGCATCCTCCCCCCCCCAAAGATAACTTCATTAGCAGACAAAATATATGATAGGGTCTCTTTCTTAGCCAAGTGCATGGATTTTAAGCTAAATATTTTTTACTATTGTCAGCAAATTGGAGGAGCATTGTGGGACTACAAGAAATGCAGTAAATGGAGAGGCATGTGAGCCTCTTGTGATCCTCTCCAGCCTTGTGCCGCTGTCGCTTTGGAGAGCCATCCTTTATATTAATTAATGAGATTTGCTACTCATGGTATACTCAGATTGATTGTAATATACACATCATGTTTTAAATTATTTACCACATTCACATTGTCAAAATAATTACCATATTTCTCCCGTGGCTTTTCAAGTAATCTAGTTTGAGAAGCATTTTTTTTCCATTCAGTGACAATTTGTGTCAGGCGTTTTGATAGATGACATGGATACCTCTACTCAGAAAATATTTTTGTGCCTTTGGTGTTATGACCTTGTTAAGGAGCTAGTCTTTACCACATGCCCTTTCCCCCTTTGGTTTCCTCCTTTTCCCAAAAAATGAACAAGGAAATTTAAGGAAATATGTTTCTCTTCTCAGGTTACACATTAAAATGACCGAGGAACAGTAATTCAACCCACCGTTGTAGGTGACAGAGGCCCACTAGAGTGTCAGGTGGTGGGACTGAACTCTTTGCCTGGTTTAAAGTTTAGTTGTTGATTCTGGAAAGGGGCACACGATGTGCAAATCTGATTTGAAGATCAAATATAATCTAGTAGGGAGAGTGAATCTGAGGGAGAGTGAATCTGAGGCTCAAAGAGCAAAGGAGACCTGAAGAGCAGGCATAGTTGGAGAACTGAGCACAGGGGGCCCCCGTAGCCACAGGAAGCACCAACTTGCTCCCAAGAGCAGTCATTGACTGTCATGATTGGGTTTTCTTTTTCACAAGATTCCGTTGATTGCAGTTTGAGTAGGAAGAGATGGAAGCTGGGGAGAGAAGTTCTTAAAAGGTTATTGCAGGGCTCTGGGAAAGAAAAGGAGCTAGTGGGAATGGAGAAAATCAGTTGATTTTGAAAGCTATTGAATTAAAATGGAAACCCAACAAACAGCCTAGTGAGTTCGTGAAATTAAAATGAGCAATTGTTAAAAAATGCCATGGGGTCCCTCCTGTCTTCACTAAAATGGACTCAAAAATGGAATATTAAAAAATGTCACAGTTGACTTATGGCATGAGTGTTTCAGATACATATCTTCTGGAGGTTGTGTTAGACATGTAAAACTGGAAAAAAAAAACCTGTTAAATGGAAACATAGGTGTGTAGCATAGATAAGGTGTGATAAATAATAAAATTATAGAAGAAATTATTTTGAAGGCCTGATTAGCACTAATCATCTGAGTAGAAGTGGAGTCTCCTAGCTATTGATTATGACCAGCTACATTATTTTGCAGGAATCAGAGTTAAGGTTGAACTTCATTTTTTGGAGAACTGCCCGGCATGCCTAGTTTTCACTAAGCACATCATGGTAGGCTCTTCCCATGCCTTTTGTTTATTCCTTATAGTACACCGTTGTGAATTGGCTAACTTTACAGTTGACTAAACCATACTTAAGAAGCTGTTATGGTTAGTGTAAGGTCATATCAGGTACAACTTTGTTTCATGCTCCTGAATTGGATTCAAAACTATACAGTAATAACCATCATATGTTAGGTTGTGAGTTTAGCTCTTTTATTTGAAGGCTATGGGACAAAATTTACCTGCTGCATAAAGACCCTAGATAGTCCATAAACTGGAGATGGGACATCCACAGACACTGAAAAAAAGGGATATGTGAGATGTTCATATTTGTGACAAGCCAAGATAAGGAAGAGAGGTTTTTCTGGGAAACACAAAGAGAATTTTAAGAGAACAGGAAAAAATGTTTTGAAACATCTTTGAAGGAAATGAGTAACTAGGGAGAAAATTCAATCATAGGAAGATGAGAGAATTAGTTTAAGTTGGGACTTAAAAGGCAATAAATGTTCAGTCCAGACCCAGATGAATTAATTCTTTGAGGTTAAATCAATGCCTTTTTAGGGGGTGGTTGTCGGTGTTTCCTGCAAAGATCAGTTCCAGAGGTGTGGATGCTTTGGGGTGAAAATTGTCAAAGCCTCCTTGGTCTTATCTGAAGGAAAGGTGAGGTGTTCTCCTGACCTCTGAGAAAATAGTACAGATTTCAAAAGAAAAACCTTTTTTAAAAAAAAAAATAATTTCTCTGCAACTATTTGCTGGAGTAACTAGCAGTGATGATTAGTGGGGAGTAAAAGGAGAAGTAAAGTGTGCAGTCTCTATTCCTCCAGCTAGGAAAGGAAATAAATCACACAGATAAATTCAAACTAGATTGAAGCACTGTAGTCAAAACCCTGGGGCAGTCACACTATACAGAGTTAGGGGAAGGCTATATATCTTCTCATAGGCTGCTAAAGTTTTAGAATTAGGAGAGATCATTGATATATTCTAGTGTCTGCCATTTGGCAGATAAAGGACCATAGGACAAAGCAGAAAAATCTGGTAAAGTCACACATAGAAGGGTGAGAAACCTCTCCTTTGCTCAAAATCCTTGCTGGCCCTTAACATCTATAAATAGGGCATGGCTCTAGTTTCTGCTCTTGTACAATCTGGCCTCAAGCTCATTCTAATCTCATGTTCTCCTATCTCCTGTTCTCCAGATGAAAAGAGTCCAACTGTTCTGAACAAACATTGTGGTTTAAAAGCGTCAACACTGGGACTAGAAAGTCAAGGATGAGAAGTCAGGGAGTGAGTCACGGGGGCAAAGTTATTCGAGACAAAAGGAGAGGTATATGCAAAAGCGAAGGCTTAAAGAGGCAGCGCAAGAACACATGTCCGTGCCATATTCAGTATAGCTAGTGTGGCTTGACAATAAGGAAACTTTGAGTGATGAGTTGGTTTCTCCTGCGTAGTGAAGGGCTTTGCGAGATTTAACAGGAGTTCAGCTTTCCCCCACCTCGAGGAACAGGAATGACATATTTAGATTGATTAGTTTAAGAGATAATTCCGGTTACGTTTCTATTGAAATAGTTCTGTGTCTGAATTATGTTTCTGCTCATATTTAATTTGGAAGGGTAGCGAGTACTGTCTCCCTTACATCAGTGCTGTTTCAGTGGCTAGTTGGTTATGGATATATGTTATTAGAGTGTTGCATAAAGAAATTAGAGACTCTAATATGTTTGTATATGTGTCTCTAATGTACATGGACTATTACATGAACAACCAGAATTTGAATCACCTCATTTTTAATTTATTCTTTTAAGGTCTGACAGCAGCAGCTGCAGCAGCTGCCGCTGCTACCAATGCAGCTATCGCTGAAGCAATGAAGGTGAAAAAAATCAAATTAGAAGCGATGAGCAACTATCATGCCAGTAATAACCAACATGGAGCAGATTCTGAAAATGGGGACATGAACTCAAGTGTTGGTAAGTTTGATGTTCACTGAAACTTCCTGTGATCATTTTGCTATCAAGTTACATTCTTTTGCAGAGCATAACTACTGCTTCCCAATGCAAGATGTCCCTATTTGTCATATTGCAAATGGTATATTTTGAAGATAGCATTTTCTCTAACACCAGGCACTCTAGATAAATTGAGCAACTAATTAGCAACATTATTTTTTGTTTTATGATCCACTATATAACTGTAACTTCTACCACTTTTGTCCAAATGATACCTTTCATAATAAAATGAATTTTAATAATTAGAATTCAAAGATAACTATCAGTAAGGTCACAGAAGAATATTTACAAATAAAACTACACACTATCATTTTCATTCTTAATGCACTTATTATCAAATGATAAATTGTATGAGCAGAAGCATATAAAGTTAATTTTTTCATGTGTCACTCTATACATAATCACTACCAATTTCTCTCATTTTAAGGTAAAACTTTAATTTCTTTTCTTTCCTGACTAATTGAGGGGGTGAAAAGTTATTAGTCACTATTAAAATCAAAAGGTACAAGTTTCTCCTCGCAGGATTCAGTTGGGTAGTTTGTTTTGTCAAACAGGACTTCAAATGTGGGTTAATATTTTAATGATATATTTTTAGCATCTGTGTCCAACAGAAAAAAAAAAATTCTGCCATTGCATTGTCTTGTTTGCCTTTAAAGAATAGAAATCATACTCAAATAAGTAAACGAAAGAAGCTTGGGTACTGTAAGATATGTGCAAGATATTACATTCAATTTCATTTTCTTTCTCATGCAGTGTTTTAACAGATTATTTCTTTTGAGCAGCTGTTTACTTTCCAGTCCATTGGTTTACAGTGAAGGGTGTATGAGGGAATACTATGGATTTTACTCATCATTTTCAAGACAATTCTGTGGAAATATATACTCAGTGCACATGTTTGAGTCAGAAGTCCTTATGAAATATATACACAAAATACAAAATGCTACTGCATTTTGTGGTGTTATAGGAAGCTTCTAATGTAAAAAGGGAAGAAATACAAGGGGATAGAGAAGGAGCCATGGTGGCAGATTCGATTTATAAGCAGGTATAAAGGAAGGTGGGGGCAGTTATTAGAAGGAGAAAATGATATGGAAGAAAACCAAAAATAGGATGCTAAAACTACAAACAACTACAAGAAACATCTGTACTTGTGTGGGGAGTTCTCCAGAAGCCAGGTGGAGAGCAGCGGATGGTTGAGGACATGGCTTACGCACCTTCATTTAGACTTTTTAACGTTAAACAGTGTTGAAGTGAAACAAAAAACAAACAACAAAAAAGACAGTTTTCTTTTTTAGAATTATTAAGCGTCTATTACTTTTGAATAGTAGTCTTGTACTTTGATCTATAAAAGAGAACAAAGCTACACTGTTTTTAAAATACGTAATCATCTACTTTAAGTAATAGTTTTCATTACAAAACATAAGCTCCCTTGTTTTCAAATGTTAGAAGAGTAAGTCTTAAATGCAGGCTGTTCTTCTAATTGGTGATAGGAGAAGGGATCTTTAATCAATTTGCTAATATTTCAAGCATCATGATGCCCTCAAAATTTCTGACCAAGAAAACAGAAGTTGACTTCAGATAAACCCATGTGCATAAGATAAAGAAAACATGTCTCAGAAGCATTGACAGCCATTTACTATTTGATATTATGCCATGACTTTTGCCTATTGAACAAATTGTAGTTCGCTTTAATTATCTGGGTGCATAGGTTATCAAAATGACTTAAAATAATTTAAAATTACCTTTGTGTTTTTTAGTGCAAAACATTTCTTTCATTTCAGGAGTTGGTTATTTATATTGCATTTGATAGTACCAACTGAACCAGGAACAGAAATATATTTGGCTTTTCTGAGGGGGTCTTAATCTTTCGAGATTGTGTTAAAATCAGTACCATTGCTAGTCCTAAGTGAAGCAGGTCATTTGTAGTACATATCTGTAGCTGATTTGGAATAAAATGCGATCATTGTCATTTTTACCCTATTCTAACATGCCGCCATCCTCTAAAAGTTTATGATTTATTATCCTTCCAGAGCACCCCTTCTCCCACCCCTCCTTTATCTAGAAAGCAGAGTTTGGGTGGGGGAGAGGGCTGGGGTAGGGTGAGTAGGGTGCAGGGCGGTGGGGGCTGTGGTTGAGCTTGTATAGATCAAAGCCCCTGCTGAAGGAAGAGCTGGCCCCAGGCTTCTCTGGCTCTGAGGATAGTGCCTGCCTCTTGGTAAGTGTTCAATCATTTTATGCTCTGTAACTCTGGTAAGTTATGTAAATTGTTTGAGCCTAACATTCCAAATTTGGAACATGGCAAGAAAGATAGTATCTACATTATAAGCATTAAAAGGGATCATATATGTCCTGTGTTTAGTTCATTATTTATGGTACCATCTGCTTATCACAGTATTTGTTCAGCAGTGAGGTTAGTCATTTTGGTGTTGTTTTTGCTGTTATTTCTCCAAGCTTGCTCTTCTGCAAATTACCTTCTTCCTCTTTTTCCTGCCATCAATTACTTCCTACACCGTTTTCCTGTTCTCTTTGCTAGGTGTTATTTTTTAAGCTGCAGGCAGAGAGGATATTTGGGGGCAACTGCTACACCAACTCGATTTTGTTGTAAATTTGATTTTAGCTCTTGGTAGGGACACACAAATAAAACCAGAGTCCCCGCACTCAAGGGGCATAGTGTATGTGGGCGGGATGGCTAAGTCATAACAAGGTGTACTGAGTCCTCCAGAAGTATCAATTATCTTGGTGCTTAAAAAGTGTATTGAAATGTGAATTCCGGGAGGCATCCCAAGAATCTCGAGGTTTCTATTTCAGAATATAAACTTACCACTCTCATGAATCTATCAATTGGCTCTTTGAAGTAGGGCAACCCCTCAGAGAAGTGCTAGTTAAATGATGTATTACCACTGCTCGGTCCTTTCCAAGACCAGTGACATTTTTAAAGTCAATTCAGTGTTTGCTTATTTTTTTTTTCTTTGTACTCATCTGACTCACAAGTTGTATTAAATATTTTTGGCTTTCCTTTGTAGGAACACTTTTTTTTCTCCCACTTGGTTGTAAATAACTCCTTATTGCCCCAGAAAATAGATTTTGTTGTTACTTGGTTTGTTTTGGCTCAGTAAGATGAAGGGATATTTTTATTCTAGATGACCTTTCCAGATCTTAATATGAATGTAAAAAATTAGCCTGAGAAAGGTGCTTAAGAACCCTTTGACACTGACAGATAATAATTTTTGATCCCAATTTTAGATGCTAACCTTGAGCTCAGATCTTTCCAACAGAATGATCATTTTAGGAAAAGTGAGGTCCTCAGATATATCCATGAGAGGTATCAGCACTCTGAGTAGTAAAATATATGGCCATGTCGCCATTCCCCCTCATCCACAATCAATTGGATTCTTTTAGTTTAATATTTACTTGCTAAGATGAGATGCTAGTCTGTGTGGTGATAAACAGTCTGCTCCTGGCTTCTGAAGGTGACCTGTCAGTTCATATGGACAAATCTCCTGCTTACTGAAATGTACAAAATAAATCATTAAAGCAGGCAGGTGCTCATTCCCAGATTTAAATCACCATAGATTTATGATTTGAATTAATGCTTCATTTGGCCATAGAAATAGATGCTGAGACAAATGATATGCACTGGTTGGGGTTTCCATACTGTAACCATCCTGATATTGATTACTGAGATGTCTTTGCAATCTCTTGTTTATATCAAGTACTATCTTGTGACAGGTTGGCTGATATAAGCTACATTGCAGATAAGAAGGAAAAATGTCCTGAATTCTTTTTAGTGGCAATGCTATCCACAACATTCAGGCCAGATAAATTGCTATTTTTTTTATTTATTTTTTTTTTTTTTGCTTTAAGGAATGATCTACATAACCAGTTTAAAATATACTGCTTGGAAATTGGGGCTGGGATATTGGAAAGAGAGAATTTAAAATCTGTGAACCCAAGGTCAATTCCACAGTATCTATAGCTGTGTTTTTATCTGCTTCTCTGTCTCACTTTTTTTTTTTTTTTTGGAATCACACACATTTTGACAACACTAAATCACAAACATTTTAATCTAAATAAAGGAAACTTAATTTTGCGTGTACCTTTTAAATGCTGTGTAAATATTGACACAGTGAACATCTCTTAATAGTTTCTGTTATTTAAATACTCACTAAACGCAAGTTCTTACTCCCTTAACAAATGACAACAAAGGAAACAACTTTCCAAAGATAAATACATTAAATATCATTTCCAAATGCCAGACTTTGTGGACTATAATTTACCAAGAGGCAGGAAAAGACTGCATTTTTACTTCTCAACATTTTATTTAAGGAAAACACTATGTACACAGTTTAAAGAATACTCAGAGGATTTAAGAGGGACCTTTGCCACTAGCTAATATCTGACTCATAGAACTGGTAAACAGCTATCAACAATAGTAGATTGCTTGCTTAGTAGGAAATGAGTTCATATCTATTCAAAATGTGATCTCAAAACAGATGTCCCAAGAAAATCTCATTGTTTAAACTATAGTCATAACCCCCTAACTGTTGTTATTTCTTTGAGGAAGTGAAGTAATCTTAAGACTTCAGAATTTCTCCTTCTAAACACGATGAAACATAGTGAGGGTACATTGACGTAGTGATCCACAAACCTGAACACATTTTATATGCCTGGAGTGTACAATTCTTTTCATTTCTCATACTTGAGCTAGCTGAAGAATGTAGGAGTTTCAAGGAAAAGCTAGAACTGGACTTTAGAATTACCAGCTGTGTTTTTCAGCAGAATACTTGCCTCTCACTTCTCTCTATCTCAAAACAAAACAAAACAAAACAAAAAGCCATGCAGATGAGAGATAAAATTATCTTCCCTGCTGACCATGTCCTTTCATTTAAAAAAAAAAATCCTACAGATATGGGCTAATTTATACCATCGTCATTTCCTTTCTTCTAACTCACGTGCCAATTTGGAAG